AGACCAACGTATCTTTAATACTGAATGGTGCCAGCAGGATTGTAAATAATCGTACAATGTCTGCAGAGATACGTGTGAGTGTCGCGCGGGATAATCGATGTAGCGTGGCATGTGCCTTATTTTAAATTTGCGAAGATATGTGTAAGCGTTGTATCGGAGATAAATGTAGCGCGCTGTAACATGCTTTGTTTTAATTTTGTTAAAATTCATGTTAACGCTACGTGGGAGGTAGGTGCTTCACAGTTTGAATTACGAAATATCTATCTCGCTTTACGCAGAATCATGGACAATAGAGTCGAAGCTCGACATTCTTCTTAACAGCTTGAATGTCGAAATTTATGCGTAATGTTGGCTGATACATAGGCGAGACCTGGTAATTGGCATCGTTTTCCAGAGATTAATCTTCACATTGTTTTCATATTCGTTAATTAATCTTCGGAAAACGATGCCAAGCTAAGAACTATACTAATGCAATGCACTCTAGACTATCGATTATCCAAAATTTGTTGCAGAGTCCTTGACTGATCTAGACTAGGCTAACAACTCGTCATAGGACGCCATGGGAAGTCGCAGGGACATCGTGGGATGCTTGCATCTTAGTTTTAGTTAATTATAAAATCGTAGACTATAATCTACGATTGGTAGCGATTTGTCTAATCGTTTTGTAGGAGATAGATGTTGCATGATGTACACTTACTTTTAAGTTTGTGAACGTCTGTGTAATCTTCCTGTGGGAGAGTGGTGTATATTTATTTCTGAGTTTTATATTTAAAACTTAGTTCCAACTTTCAGCTACACAGCCAATGTGGAATGCATGCGTCTAGTTTTAGTTAATCATAAAACATATAATCTTAATAAATTATAAGCACCTGCCGTGGAAAGCCATGTGATAACGCAGGATGTCGTGGGATGCACGCTACAGCTTTAATTAATTTTAAGATGAATATATCTGAGCTAAGTTTATTATGCGTGCCTTTTGTACAAAGATATGTTGTCTAACTTGGAAACAAAAGTTAGAAGCTTCTTCATTTAATCCTCTTAAATATCAAATTATAAAACAAAACAATCGATTTAACAAAATGTTTGTAGTTTCAGTTTTTAAATTTCGCTCCAAGTTATAGTCCTTGATCCGAAAGGCTACCAGTATGGCTACGATCTAATATATTCTTGTTTAGGTAGGTTTTGGTTCTAAGATTTTTATTAAGTTAAATTTATGCCTTATTTTGGCTTGACTAATGAGAGACGACGAGGGACAAAGTATTAAATTCTAAATATTAGTCTAAGTTGAAAGTATTAATTTTAAGTCTTCGTTTTAATCCTTAGTTTTGAGCTTTAGTTTTAAGTCTTAGCTTTAAGTTGCATCATTAATTTTAAGCATCATTGCATGTAATGTACGTAATGTGTGTACAGTATACAGTATTTTATTATTTTTATAGTGTATAAGAATTTTCTAGAATATTATGGAAGTATAGAATTCTATAATTCGCTGCGATTATTCTACTCTAATGTCATATGTACAAGGCTTTATGTAGTTTTAATTCAAAACATTACTATATACTGAATCGATAATGTCGCATGTGACACGAAAACGGTAAAGGGGCTGGGTGACCCCTAAAACGTAACACGAAAAAGCATTGCATGCTACGTCTATTCTACATGTCGTCTGTGGTACTATCTCGTCTGTGCCAGCACTCCACTGAATCGATAACGTCGCATGTGACACGAAAATGGTATGACTGGTTAGGTGATCTTCAGAACTTGGGACACGAAAAAGCATTGTATTTCACATCTATTCCATACTTCGTCTGTGGTATAACAAAACCTATGTACTTTTGGTCGATCGGTATTTCAGAACATGTGAAGTTTCATAATATGTTAAGTTTACGGTTTATCTTATACTGTGTCTGTACCATCGCATAGCCATTCGATTTTCGTCGATAACGCAGATTACTGTAATTTACTGGTTTCCGACATCGCTTCTCTCGACATTACACAGAATTATACAACAAACTAATTTTAACCAGAGAACAATACGTGACTTCCGATCCTGTTCGTTTTTAAAACTATAACCAGTATTTCAAAGTGAAAATCAGAATTTCAAATTGATTGAAATTCTTTTATATGTTTATTGCAAATCAGTAGCCTTCTTACATCAACTTCTATTATAACTTCACTTATTATTGGAGTAATGTAGAATTTTCAATAGGAAGCAGGAAACATATATAGAGTGATGTATTTTATATTACAAAATTCAGAGAAAAATCGGAGACGAGGTAAATTCTAAAGACTCTATGGAGAAATTGATCCTATCGGTATCGAATTTTTCTATTAATAGAAAGCTCCTAAAAACTTAGCCGCTCCGATTCACGCTTTACGCTCGGTGCTTCGATCTTCCACCCTGCAACCTTTAATTTACCTATATTTCTTATAAAAGCTATCTCAAAAAATAGTATTTATAGCGAAACGAATTCCACAGTTTCTCTTCTATTATAGTCATTCTCTTTCCTCATTGTTAAAAATAATCATTTCCAATCTGAACAAATCTGCTCTATCATCCACCCACGATCTTTCTACCCTGCTGCAAATTACGGAATCTTTCTTCTAACTAAAAGACGGGTTCTGCCAAAATTTTTTCTCGATATCCATCCGGAAACGATACGAGCCTCCCACAACCCATACGAAAGCGAACAGAGCACCCTCGTTCCAAGGATACGAGCATCCGGCAAGCAACTTCCGTCACCCTTCTCCTGCAACTTTCTCAATTCAACGGACCCTCTGTCGTTTCGAAAATACGGACCTGCATGAGACCCAATGTTCCAGACCTTCCAAGTAATGGTTTTCTCGACAAGGACCTCGGAAGGGCCTCCGTAAATTCTCCTCCCACCCCAGCGAATCCGCCCCTCGACCGGCTGACTGCTTCGTTGTGAACACGTGTAGGGAGGTTCGCTTCGGTTCTTAGTATGCGTGCGTGCGTGTGAGTGTAGCGAAGAAGGAAGAGACAGGCCGACACTGTGAGGCACTGCGACCACAGAGGCACGCACACATGCGTGAACACCTCCATACAGCGTCGAGAGTATGCACCAACACGCGTACAACGATCCGTCGTCGACTCCGACATCATCCTCGTCGTCCTAGACGTTTCTCTGCCTGTGCTGGATATGTGCTGA